TTACTCAATCCTTGGAGCTCAATTTCTTTAAATTAGATCTGTTTTTGCCTTTAGTCAGATCTTGCAAATGTTCTTGACTTTGTATAATGAGAACTTGAAAAGCTAAGAAAGAACAGTATATAGATTCAGCTTTAAAAATGATTTTGCATTTTTATGAGTTATGTTTTGGCTGCAAGTGTCTTACAGTTTTATTGGACATTATGTTCCTATTAAGTACTTTCAAAATTTTCTACAAAGTTTGTTTGTTTGTTGAAAACTTTGTTTATTGACTATTAGGATGGTTTCTTACTATATAAATACAGACATACAGAGAACAAGGTTTGTGTTTGTCAGAGTGAAAGGAACTCAAATGCACGATAAACAGAAATTATCAAATCAATTAGAGTATACCCATTTGATGTGACCATTATAATGCTTTGGTTACACTTGATTTGGAGATGAAAGGGCAAAGCCCATCCATAATATTCTGTTAAATGAAAAACGTAATCCTGTTCTTTTAATTATAAGTTTAGCATACTCTAATTCTTCTTTTGTAGCAGAATGGCTATCTCTATGACTCTAATTTGCCTATGCCTTCCTACATCTGCATATATGCAGATTGACTTAGTTATTGAGAAAATAGTGAGTGGTAACAATTAACAATAATGATAACAATTATTATCTTAATAGATGACTTAAAATGTCTTGTTCTAAAAATAATCAATGGTATTTAGAATTGTAAAAATGTACCATACTGTTAAATACATAGTGTATTTTAGAAATCCTAAACTAAAAGTGGCACTTTTCAATAATGAAAACTTGAAACTAAGTGCTGTGCTTCCAAGGCTCCTGCACTGGAGTTTGAAGAGGTGGGATTTTTTTGCCTTTTTCATCATACTCCACTTCCTAGAGAGGGTTTGCTTGCCCAAAACCTGTGTAGTTTTTTTTCCATTTTAGTGTTGTAGCAATGATTTCATTTACTGCTAGTTTTTGTTACTGTCACATCATTTTAGATGTATTACAAATAGGGAATAAAAATAGGGAATCATTTTCTAATATTTGCTCCTAGTGATGAGCATGCTACTTCAGGTAATCATTTTGTTCCAGTAATAACAAGTTTAGTGAAAAGAATGTCATCTCAAAACATTTCCAGGCGCTTAAACTTCTTACACAAAATACTTCAACACATTTTAAAACAATGGAAATAATGCGTAAATATAAGATGTTTTTCTCAGGCATAATCCCAAAATCTGGTTTGTAAAATCAATTTAAGTGTGAGACATTGCAGTTTATCCTAAGTGCATAAATACCATCTGGACACAAATTCCCTCTTTACAATGTGTTGACTACTCAGTTTTTATCCCTATGACCAAATATCTGGGAGAACTTAAGGGCAGAACTTAAGAGCTTTTGATTTCAGAAGTATCCGCACAGCACAGAGACTGTCGGGAAACAGAACAGGGCCTACAAGTGGAGAAAAGGGGTGCACAGAGAGATCAGGATACCATACAATCCCCAAGGATAAGGCCTAGCATCATACCTCCTCCAGCTAGGCCCCACCCGCTCCCTTTGATCACCCCCCAATAATGCCATCATATTTTGAACTCACCAAATGTTGGTCCAGTCAGTGAGTCAGAGCCCTCAGCATCCAATCATCTCTAGAATGTCCTCACTGTCATCCTCAGATACACTTTTCTAATTTTTGGAAAACTTCTCAGCCCAATTGGCTTGACAAGTAGGATGTACTGTCTCACCATACATGGCATAATCAGTATGACTATATGTTTCAGTATATCTTCTAAGTGCTTGAATGTTTGTTTTTAAAATATGTTCTAAATGTGTGAAATATCAAAACTGGCAAAACTCGGGGGTAGTTAAGTCATTGGAATCCATATATGCTAGTTTTTAAAGATATTATTTTGCAAGAACTTAATTTAGCTTCTAAGACCCAGGAATAAGAGGTTTGTTTGTTTTCTCCTAACAAACAGTGATTGCAACTATACATTTAAAAACAAACAAACAAAACAAAAAACAAGAGTTCACTGAGGGCTGCTTTCAACAAAAATGGTAAAAGGAAAGAATGATGGCTTTCCGGATTTAAGGTGGGTTCATAGAATATGCAAGAAATAATCTTATAACAGATTCTGAATGTTTAGCCACTGAATGAATAATTAAAGATGAATTTTAGTTAAATAGAAAGAGAAATGAGATAAGACTTAAGTCATAGGAAAAGTTAGCTATAATGTTCATCTGGAGAGAAACAATAACTGGAAAAAAAGGACAGGAAAAGAAGGGCAGAAGAAATAACTTAAATCAAATAGAGATAGCAAACTAAGCAGTGAATGAATGCCTGGGTGGGTGGATGGATAGATGGAGATGATAGATAGGTAGACATGATTAATAGGTAGGTGATAGACAGGTAACAGATAAATGATACATTAAGATAGAATAGAAAGAAGATAAATGATAGATAGATAGATAGATAGATAGATAGATAGATAGATAGATAGATAGATGATAGGTAGGTAGATGAGACATAGGTAAATGATACATAGGTAGAAGATACAAAAATAGATTTTAGATAAATGGTAGGTAAATATTATAGATGATGGATGGATGGATGGATGGGTGATATAGATAGATATTTTGATGGGTTTTTTAGCAAACTTTACTAACCACTCCCGAATATATGATTCACCCTCATTATACTCTGAGTTAGAAGACTGTCTAAAGTTTACAAATGAAGACCAAGTGTGAACAAGTACCACAGATTTTCTTCTAGAATTTCATGGTAACGACCATGTCAGCTGTAGTGATGCTTGCAGCAGTGGGGATGGCAGAGCAGCAATGCTCAGTGCTGCGCACGTATTGTGTTCCAGTCACTGCACAAGCAGCATAAACGAATTGTCTCATTTAATCTTCACATAGAGTCCTGAAGTGAGTGTTATTACCCTGGCTTTAACAATGATGAGACTCAGGCTTTGAAGTTTAATAACATGCCCAAAAGTGGAAAGCAGAGATTCAGAACTCTAATTAAGACCAGCTGACTTCTGGGCCTGTCCTCCTAAAGACTGCACTGTAAGTTCCTTGGGGGCTGAAAGGAAAAGGCTCAGACCCTGTACAGCATCCTCCTTGCAACAGAGCCTAACTTCTCAGCTCTTGGCAAAAGTAGGAAATCTCCTTCCTCACTGTGGCACACTCACCCATCCAGTTTTTCTTCCTGTGCCCATCCTATGCCCCACCCTTATAAGGATAAGACCTTGTCTGTCTTCAGGGACAGTGGCATCAATTAAGCTTTATACTTTCATACCTCAGTGTGTAGATCTCCTGCCAGTCCTAACATCGGTGTCATGTTGGCCTACCTAGTACATGATTCAGTCATGCACACCAAGGAGTTGGTTCTTGTAAACAAAGAAATGTTAGGAAAACAATTATACATACTTACATTTCAATAATCAATGATTGATTCAATGAGCTTAAGTTTGGGAAGAAAAGGTTTCTTCCTCTGTATAGGCACAGACCCAGTTGCATTCTGATGAGGAAGGCAATCATTGGATGGTGACAGAATGAAAAGATAGAGACTCTGAACATGGCAGTTCAGCACCTCCGAGCATCAGCTCTGCTACTGAGAACACAAGGTTAGTTGTGGGCCTGGATGTACTAAAGGAAAAAGGATCTGGAAGGAAGGTCAATGTGAAGGTCAATGTGAGAACCTAAGCTATGTCTGTGCTGTTAATATAGCAGCTTTATGCCTCTGTCTCCTCATATGTAAAGCAAAGTTTTAGGGAAGATCTTTTTGAACACCAACACCAACAGTGCTATTTATGTTTGGTTGGGGTGGACACTAAGTTATAAGGAAACACACACACAGAGAGAGAGAGAGAGAGAGAGAGAGAGAGAGAGAGAGAGAGAGAGAGAGAGACAGACAGACACAGACAGACAGACAGACAGACAGACAGAGACAGAGACAGAGAGAGAGAGAGGAGAAAGTGGGGAAGGGAAGGAGAGAGGGACAGAGTAAATAGAGTCACTGGAATTTAAGAATCGGAAGCAAAGGAGAAGAAACAATGAAAGTCCACCAAATACTCACGGAAAGCAGAAGTAAGACAAAAAACCAAACCGTGTTTCCAGTGCTCACTTGTTCACTGTGTGTACTCTCACCACTTACAAAATGCTTGCCCTGGCTTAGGCAGGGGGGCTGTTCATTTTGACGCATGGCTTCATCTCATCAGGATGCGTGCATCAGAGCAGAGTTTACATCTTGGAGGCGAGGAAGCACAAAAGGACAGAATGAGAGACTGACTGCCTACACTAGCTGGCTTTCTCCGTTTTTCTCTCATCTATTCCAACTTAGGCCCAAACGACTGGGTGATGCTGTTCGTATTAAAGAGGCACCTCTCTCAGCTAATCCCACTTGAAGATCCTCCCACAGACACAACCAGAGGTGCACTTTTTTAATCCCATAGGCTTAGTAATCATTAATCCCATCCAAACCAGTCATTAGTCAGGATGAACCACCGTGGATATCTGCTTGTTTTAATGGGCAAATTATAGATTTGCTTTACCCTGATATCTTCTTTTGAATAGCAATCATTATGGTCGGCAATCTCAGATTTAAAAGTTAAGAATTTTGTGTTTTGAAGAACAAAGATATATCTGAGAAATGCCAGTGTGTTTTCTCCACATATGTTTTTGCCAAGCTTCATTTAAATTGAATGTCCTTTTGGAATTGGTTATCTATGTCACTGAAGAGAAAAAAAGATATATATATTCTATTACATTATATGCTTCCTTTATACGATGGACTAACCTTTTCCTTTCATCTTGCTTTATCCAGTAGACATTTTTTCTTATTTCTGATTTCTTATAGGCTAAAGTCTCAGTACATGTATGTGCTGTGTAATCTCAACATTATCCACCCCACACTCTGATTTGAATAGAGTGGTTTTACTCTCTGAATGTGCATGAACCTTTTAGTATCTTATCACCCTGAAATGCCTTTTGTTCATTCTGTATTTCAGGCCCTGCTTGACACTCAGAATCTTTTGCGAGCACAAATCACGAATTTTACATTCAACCTTGGATTTTCAGGGAAGTTTTATCACACAGGTAAGGCTCCTCTGACCACTCTGTTGGAAATCACACTTCCCTCCTGTTCCCACTTTTCTACACCCTTCGTGTCTTTCCCTATTTTTGTTCATTTCATTTAACTCCAGCTAACATACTACGTTTAACTTTTAGAACATGTTAATGAGCCAGGCAGTGATGACATGTGCCTTTAATCCCAGGCAGAGTCTGAGAGAGTTCCAAAATAGCCAGGGCTACACTGAGAAACCATGTCTCAGGAAAAAAAAGAAAAGAATGACAGAGAGGGAGGGAGGGAGGAAATAGAGTAAATGTTACGGCTTCTAAAGCTTACAATATTTTCCAATGCCCCTCCTTTTCATTGAAGTGTAATTTACATATAGAAAAGTCCATAAAAAAACAAACTTGATCTTTTGCGAATTTTCACAAACTGTTCAGTCGTTATTTTCAAGCAGAGCAAGAAAAGTCTTTTCATACCCACCCCAGGCTTATTCCCTTCTTGTAGTCTCTAGCCTCCTGTTCTGTTTTTTTTCCTAACACTTCTAAATGGCTCCCTGGCTCCCTGGCTCCCTAGCTATACCTGGATCTTACATAAGTGTAAAACTCGCCACATCCAGCTTTGGCTGTTGTTCTACATTGTTAGTCACACAGATAAGGTACATAGATTATCATTCTCTCCTTTTTCTTGGTAATGTTTCGTTTGAGCTTACCAACACTTTATTCATTCTCCTGCAATGTAGATGGTTATTTCTAGCCTTTGGCATTTCTTACATCATCCTATTAGGCATCCATCCCTGCCCCCCCTCCCTGGAGGGCATAAATTCTTTTCTGTTGGATCTCAGCCCAGAGTGGAGTTGCTCACATGACACATATATGAAAACTTGAAGAGAAAAGGCCAGCTGATTTTACAAACCGATTTTTCCAGTGTGTATTTCTAGCTGTCTGAGGACTGTGCCTCATGTTTCATGTAATTTCCCTTTTAAATTTTAGCTGTGCTATGGGAATGTAGGAATTCATATGATGGTTTTCATACATATTTCTCTTATTAATAGAAAGTGAGCCTATGCACATGATTACTGGATATTGAGGAGCACTTGTTTTTAGGTTTTCTTTTTGCTGGTTTGTAGATTCTTGATCAATTCTGTGTCATGATTTCTCAGTTACATGCATTATAAGTTCTTTCCTCTCACAGTCTGGGTTATCTTTTCTCTCTCTTGTGTTTGTTCATTTAAATGAAAATAGTTCATTTTAATGTCAATTTTATCTTTCCTAATAGCTTTCTTGAGTCTTTTGTGATATACAAAATCAGTTATGTTTTTACACACCATCACCAAAGTCATAGACAAATAAAACAAAGTATCATTTACTATTCCATCAACAAAGTTTTCAGGAACATATTTCAGAATTATACAGTTATATTGGGTGTAACTTTAAAAATTTGTAACATGTCCAAGGATTGGAAGACTAGATATTTAAGAAATCAATTGGCAAGCTAAGCAATAGTGTAGAGACCACCTCGAATGCCTATTCCTGATAGTGAACTTGATGTCTATAACCATCCTGGAGCCTTCATCCAGTGACTGATGGAAGCAGAGGCAAACACCCACAGTTAAATACTGAACAGAACCCGAGGAACCCAGCGACAGAGAGAGAGGAGTGAAGAGCAAATTGGCAAAGAATGGGCTGGCAAAACTAGCAGAGACAGCTGATCCGAACAGGGGAGAGCTCTTGGACCCCAGACCGACAGACAGCTGGGAGGCCAGCATGGGACTGATTCAGACCCCCTGAATGGAATGTGAGAGTCAGTGAGGAGGCCTGGGCAACCTATGGGGCCCTGGGCAGTGGATCAGTGTTTATCCCTGGCATACAAACAGACTTTGTGTATCCATAACACAAAGAGGGTTGCTCTCTCTGCCTGGACTCTTAGAGAAGTGCCTGGACCCTACCCTGAATGAAATGATAGACTCTAGATATCCCCTATGCAGAAGGAATTGGCAATAGGGTGGGAGGATGGGGGGCATGGTGGGGGTGGTGCAGGAGGAGGGGAGGGAGAGGGAACAGAGATTGACATGTAAAGCAAGCTACTTAAAATTTAAAAAATGTTAAAAAAAAAGAAATCAGTCCTCTCCAAATTGATCTATTAATACAGTCTCAGACACAATTCAAGCAAGTTTCTTAGTGGGCATTTGTAACATCATCCTAAAATTTATATGAAAATTCAAACAGCCAAGAAGAGCCAAAACAGTTGTAAGGAAGATGAACCAAACTGCAGTAGTTGCTCTAGCAAAGGCTTAGTAATTACAGACTTTCTTCCAGTAAGATGTCTGATAGAAACAAGAAGCTCCAACAAGCTAAGGGAGAAAGAAACGGTCTACAGAAACACACTAATCTCATCTCTGATGAGGGCGGGCTTCCCACTAATCCATGCCAATTAGAGAACTTTACCATGGAAAGAAGGTAGCTTGACCCAGAGCTGAGGAAAACCACAAAAACAAGCTCCAGATTGATCAAAGATTTACAGTATTGCGATCTCCAAAGATTTCTTAAACAAGAAACGATGGCATGTTTCACACAAAAGGAACTCCAGCTTGCAGAAACTCAGTTCCTGGCTATAGCAATGTTAGGCCCACTCTGCAGCCTAAAGACACAGAACGTCTGTAGTCACCTCCCTAATGTCAAGCCATTAGACGCTTTGACATCTGTGAAGAGTGGGAAGTCAAGACGCAAAGAAGGAATCAGAAAGCATACTGACTGCACAGTACTTTGAAAGAGTTCATATTACTTGGACTGTTACTGTGGTACGTGCCTGTGGGAAGGTTTAATGGAAAAGGGGTTTGAATTTTGTTTTCTTAAGTTTCACTTATGGTGTGTTTTGCTCATCATGTCTGGGCCTGTGGTGGGGCAGAGCATCATGGTAGCTGTGTGTGGTAGAGCACCCATTAATCTCATGAAAATCAAGAAACAGAGAGATGAGAAAGGGAAGAGGGAGAAAGTACACTCTCTAGACCATCTCCAATGACCTACCTCCAGTAACTAGGCCCTGCAAGTTTCTGCCACCTCCCAAAATAGCATCCCCAACTGAGGACCAAGCCTTCAACACAGGAGCCTAGGAGGAATTCTTTTCCATGTTAAAACCAAATGGGAGGTGACGAGAGAAAGAACAATAGAATTATAACCAGGGCAGTCCAAACTCAGGAAATGTACAAACATCTGGCAACTCAGTGTTCTTCCACCAACCCTGGATGCTACAAATGATGACATTTGTCCAACTCCTTCCTCTAAGCTATGTAAGGGTTGGGTTTGGTTTTTTGTTTTTGTTTTTTTAATAAAAACACTTCTCACAGATCCTGATGAGGGTCTTCTCTCTAAACCAACAGAAGACCTGCACGCACAAGAGAATAGTAGAGCCAAGGTTGGTGAGATCTCACTATCTGTATAGGAGAGGAAAGGTCCTGTGCCATCATAGCCAGGCTGTCTAAAAACAGAGAAGTGATTCTTCCTGGGAACAAACAAAATTTAAGTCTCAGCCTTTCATATTAGATGTTACAAGACTTAATTAAATCAAATTGTCATACTTTGTAAATAATTGATTCCTTTCTGTGTTGAAAACTCTGTCCTTTTCACTCGGGCTTAAAGGGGAAAAGAAAAATGACACTTCTGTCACAGAAAAAAATCATTTCAGCAAAAAGCTTTCTTTCTTTTTAAGAGTTCATTTCATATGTATGGGTGTTCTGCCTGTGCATATGTCTGTTCGCCACATGTATACCTGGTGCTGGCGAAGGCCATTAAAGAATGTCAGCTGCCCTGGAACTGGAGCTACAAATGGTTGGGAGTATGGGAGTATGGGAACTGGGAATAGAACATGGGTCCTCTGGGAGAGAAGCCAATGTTCTTAACCGCTGAGCCATCATCAGGCTAAGGCTTTCTTGTCTTTGATTTATTTTAATTTAAATATTGTTTTGATTTTTTCCTTTTTAAATTTAAATTAAAAACAAGCTTGCTTTACATGTCAATCCCAGTTCCCTCTCACTGCCCTACTACTCGACCACAATTGACCCCTTATCCCATCCTTTCTGTGCCCCAGGGAAGGTGAGGGCTTTCATAGGGGATCTTCAAAATCTGTTATATCATTTGGGGCATGGTCTAGACCCTTCCCACTGTGTCTAGGCTAGGACAGTATGTGGAATGGGCTCCCAAAGTCCATTCGTGTACTAGGGATGAATACTGATCCACTGCCAGAGTCCCCATAGATTAACCAGACCTTCAAACTGACATTCATGTTCAAGGTTCTGAAACAGCCCTATGCTGGTTTCCCAGATATCATTCTGAGGTCCATGAGCTCCCCCTTGTTCAGGTCAGCTGTTTCTGTGGGCTTCACCACCCTGATCTTGACCACTTTACTCATCACTCCTCCCTCTCTACAACTGGATTCCAGGAGTTTGACTCAGTGTTTAGCTATGAGTGTCTGCTTCTGTTTCCATCAGCTACTGAATGAAGGCTCTAGGATAGCATATAAGGTAGTCATCAATCTCATTATCGAAGAAGGATATTTAAGGCATCCTCTCAACTATTGCTTAGATTGTTAGTTGGGTAAACCTTGTAGATCTCTGGACATTTCCCTAGTGCCAGATTTCTCTTTAACCTATAATGCCTCCCTCTATTATGGTACCTCTTTTCTTGCTCTCCTCTAATCTGACTCAATCATCCTGCCCTCTCATGTCTTCTTCTCCCTTTCTCTTCTCCCTTTCTCTTTCTCCTAATTCCCTCTCTCCTCCCACCATGCTCCCAATTTGCTCAGACCTTGTCCATCTCCCCTTCTCAGGGGAACCAAGTATGTCTCTCTTAGAGTCCTCCTTGTTACCTAGCTTCTCTGATGGTGTGGATTGTAGGCTGGTAATTCTTTTACTCTATATCTAAAATCCAAATATGAGTGAATACATATCATGTTTGTCTTTTTGTGACTGGGTTACCTGACTCAGTATGATTTCTTTTAGTTCCATCCATTTGCCTTCAAATTTCAAGGT